CAAAGTGAATTAGTCAGTCAACAGGTTGCAGTAAAAATATGAATGACAACTTGGTGAGAAGTAGAGAGCCCCGCTGCTACACGCTCGTACCAGTCAAGGGAAAAAAAAAAAAAAAAAAAAGAAAGAAAGAAAGAAAGAAAAAGGGAAAAAAAGGAAAATCTCCGGAAGCTTACACAGCGATGCCACAAGTCAGATACACAGACACACAATGAATTCACAATTCTCTTGCATCTCATCTGGCTCAGCCCTAAAGCTATTTACGCTGTTGCAAAAGGAAGCACAGTCATGACTCCAGGAGGGATAATATACACTACAATGTGAAAAGCAATACCTGCGTTAAAATCACTTTCTACATTTTACTTTATTTGACTAGATTCAGCTTGATGAGTTAAATAATCTACCAAAGGAATACGAGTGTTTTTCTGAATTCAAGCAACATTCGATTTTCTTGTTTTAAGTGTGAAGAGTTGTTGTTGTTTTTCTTATATTGTGCACCAAGATGTATTTTCACATTTTAATGACAGAAAGTCTTTTTCCTTTAGTAGATAATTTTACTTGTCAACTGCAATTTACTCAAATCATGATCTAACTCTCTTAATTCAACTTATCTACGAGTTGTAGCAGGCTAGATTTTAGTTTATGGTTAGAAGATATAAGAAGTAAGTGTTGGTATAAAACGTGAAATTCTCTAGATAGCAGGATTAATTTAAGCAGATACTATTTAAACAGTAGCTTAAGAGGGACTACTTTATCAATATTTGCACCTTAGGCTACTTCAGAAAAAATACAATGTAAAGTAGGGCAGGGTGAGACAGTGTTTCCCATGGATTATGTTAAGATTTTAAAGGCACAAATAATTTTTTTGAATCACTATTTGAATCATTTCATCTCATTCAATTTGTGGAGTTTAAATGTCACTTACAGCCTATATTTAAACATCTGACTAATAATTTTGAACAGTGTAATCTCTTTTCTAAGTCTGCGATAATTCAATGAGCAGCAAAGTCTAATTTTGTTACGCCAGAATATAGACCAGTTTATTTTAGACTATGGGGGAGCATCATAGTCTCTCATATTAATAGGAAACACAGTGATATGACGAAAGACAATTTTATTTTGTTGTATTAAAAACAAATACAACTTGCTTTCAAAATTGATTTCCTGAAATTTTTTAACATTTCTTCCTCCAAAGTCTGAACTCTGCTCCAAACCACATGCTTTTACTGTCAGTGGTTTGGCTGGGGACCTCTACGTTAAAAAGACCAAAGCAAATAATTGATGATTAGAAATGACTGAATCTTGATCTATTAAAATCCACAGCCCTAATATCTAAAAATGTATCTTGTGTAAGGATATGAAGTAGTAGTAGTAGTAGTGCTGCTCAGTGCTTTTACAATTTTGTCATAAAGTGTCCAAAAGCTTAAATTATTTCACCTGGTTAAGACTACATTTTAATTAAGCTGACGTTATAATAATGAGGAGAATGACCATAATAAATAACATAAAACAATATTACAAAATAAAAATCCAGCCTCTACTTCACATGATCAATGTTTGTGTCTCTTGTGTCTTGTCCTCAAATTTTGCCACACTAACGTCTCATCGTCATAATCAACACTGAGATCTAGCGCAGCTTCAGACAGACAGAACCACTCAGGGTTTTACAGGGTTCTACAAATCCTCCAGTCAAAGGACAGTGGATGGTAAAGGAAGAAATGAAAGTCTGGTTAGTCACACACACTAGTCCTGGGTAACTTGAACTCTGTGCCTGTGCCAGTCCTTAGTGCAAGATAGATACAGCAAAGTCAACAGAAAATATTTACTCCTAATATTCACTTTTCATGTTAAACTGCTACAAGCTCCACAAAAAATGGAACAAATGTTTTTTTCCAATTTGTTGTATATACCTGCAGGCTAATTTGGTAAAAAGGAATCTAAAGATATGAATGACCAGAAGACGCCTTGAAGATGCAGTTTGAAGATCTGACATTATAATAGTCGATATGACGGGGGCCTCCAAGGCCATAGGAAAGGTGTGAGGAGGAGGAGGATGGGAGGAAGACCATAACAGCATCAGCTCTGAGTCTTTCTCTGCACCAGGATCAAGCAGCAGCATTAATGGATTCAGAGAGGATCAACTGTTGGCGATCGAGTTTCTCTGTTTAGACTCAGGACACATACATCTACATGAACACTGCTGCAATGCAGACGTTTGCACGTCAGAAACAGGTCAAATCAATACAGTCTTAACAAATGTTATTACGTAGAAAAAAGCTCTACAGCTACCAAACCACAAGTGTGTGAGGGTTTACTCATTCCTTCAGGTGTAGATATAATTATTACAACAGGTGAAGACTTTTTCAAAATAAAATAATAAATAAATGTAAAATGAGAATAGTTTAACTAGATTAACACTGTGAGTATAGCCGTGAGTGTGAGGCAGCCTTCACACGCTCAGTCTCAACTCTGGGATGAGCCGCGATGAGGAATCACTGTTCCCACATCATCCACACCTTTGTGGAGTCTGAGCTCTCATGTCATTTATGTAGCAATAAAATATAAATATATCAGTGAGACACACACACACAGAGGGTGCATGTGAGTGGATCAGGGGTTTACTACAAACTGAAGCAAAACATATATACAGTAATATTTAATTTTACAGAATATTTTAGGCCAAACTTATTACAATGCTGTCAATATTACAACAATGTAGTTATTACATTAGTAATAACATACTTTATTACAGTGATTTATTTATTTTATACTGAACAATTTACTTTTTATAATAGAGTTTACAAAAGTAACTTTATGATTATTATATGAGTTTAATGAAATGAAATTGTTTTGCTCCAACAAAAAAGAACATGATAAATGAGTAGTATCTCTAGTCAGCAATTTACTGCAACTATTCCTGATGCTGACCATGTTTTTAATGAAAAGGCTTTTTTTTTCATTTGCAGTGAAGTCTTCTTTTTAATATTCAAAATATATTTCTGTGGTTACTTTCAACCAATTATTTACTTTAAATTGGTTAATTTAAAAATAGGTTTTGTTGATTATTATTGTTATTATTATTGTAATTACAGCTTGATAAACACCAACTTATTTGTCATGTCAATACCTAACTTTACTATAATTTATAACAGAAAACCACAGATCAGATTCATTTTGTAGACTCATTTTAATGAATCTAAGGCCTTTTCAACAAAGCAAATTTACTATAAAAATAGAATATTGATAAAGCCACCATGCTGAGATAATTATTTTCAGTCTCTAAATAACAAACAATTTATTCCTTAACCATCCACGTGCTCAACACACAAAATCAGTTACATATAACGTGAAAATGGCTAAAAACTAAAGCAGCAGTAAAAACAGCAACAGGCCTGAGAAGAGGGGGGCAAAGCTCCATTAGTCACAAAACAAAAAGAACTGATTGATTCATTCAGGCTCCACTGAACACACTGGCGTACGTACGTGTGCAAATCTTCAATACCCTGGATAATTACTACAGGAACTTAACTACTGTTACTTTACAATTATTCCAAAGTTTGTGATAGGAATTATGCAAATAAATGTAATTTAACATTTTATTCACGTGCATTTCTAACCACCAGCCAACTCATGTACCTGCACAAAGCGATGAATTAAATTTACGTGACAAAAAGACGAATCTAAATTGCAATTCCTTCATAACATTAATTTTCATAATTTATCATCAGCCAAAAGACCAGTGCTGCTTGCATGCTAATCAGACAGTATTTAATAGTAATACATAAATGCAGTGACTCTTCCAATTTGCACACGTCCACCTGTGCGTAACCCTTCTCTTCCGCAGTCTTCGCTCATGTGCGGAGATTTGGGTTTACAGGCCCACAGAGCTCACACAGGCTTCCTATTGGACACATGCAGCCACATGTATGGACAGTGTGCATGTGATTCCGTGTGTAGCCTATGCAGGCGGTGTGTATGTGTGTATGGCCATCATGGCTGCCACGAGGCTTTCCCAACATTGCCATGGCCTACGTGCACAAATGTGGGGAGTGGCGCAGGCTTGAACACCATGTTGCGTACTACAACTAGCAAAACCCTGCTGAAAACAGGCCATACGGCGAAAAACAAGACATGGGCGGCCCCAGATGCAACATCAGACGTGCACACAATTTTATATACGTTATAATTACACAGAGGCTCGAGAAAACTGTATAAACTGAGCAGAAACGGTGGGCAGCGCCCAAAGCGGAGGGCTGTTGGAAGTGTGTAAAGTATACGTCACGTGGTGCTCCACAAGGGGCTTGAATATTTACCTTTTGGTCACGCAATGTAGTCTTTCCCTATGTTCAATGGCATTTTCCCGCTTTAACAAGCAGCTACACGTATTTGGGCCGTACTTCTGCCTTTACGTGCAAAGCGCATGTAGTGTATACGTAATTACAACAAAATAACACAACTAACAAATTATTAAAAAGGACTTTTTACATTTTTAAAAGAGGAAAGCACTGCGGAAGGACACAGCACATGTCAAGAGTGGATTGGGAGTGACACGGCGCGTGAGGAGTTAAAGGCAGTCCTATAGAATAGCTCAAACATTAACTCTTTCTCGTCACACACCATGAAACCTGCGGGGACGTAGCAAGGGGAGCCTTCGAGAAGTTAAATATAATCACACAGCATTTAAAAACAATTAAGAGGCAATTATTTGGTGTCTCATACACTTTTCAAGTGGCCTAACATGGCAGCACCCATGTGAGCAATGGAGGAGAGCTGCCCTCGTGTCGCGTCCTGTGCATTCTAGAAAAGACCAGTACTTTTGAGCGCCTTCGCCTGCCTGCATAACACAGACTATTAGTTTGTTTGGGAAATGTCCGTGCTATATTTCACAGCGGAAGCCTACAGGTCACATTGGGTCTGCCATGGGGCTCAGGCTCTATATGTTTATGGCAGTGTGTGCGTGCGTAAAAGTGAGTGTGTGTTCGTGTCAAAGGTTGTAGGCCTACCTTAGTTTTTTGGGAACCGAGTAGTCTACCTCTATCACCTTTCCGTGCAATTCAACTTTACCTGTAGGGACGGAAAATTGATAATGTAACGTTAGTCGTGCCATGAAAGTAACAAAGCAAGCTGGTAGGGCTACAACACAACACTTTGAATCACTTCACCAAGTAGGTGCGTCCCCATTCATACACACAGACCATTGAAACTATTTTCTACAGCTACTGTGCGTGCATGGCGGCGGGGATAGGATCATATTTACATTTAATCATGAGCAGTGAATGAAAGAAAATAAAGTTTGAAGCTCCAAAACAAGGCAAAAGCTTTAATAGTAATATGGGGGAACTGGGCAGCCATGCTTTCCACTCCCACAACCCTCTCAGTGCAATGTGGGGTATGTTTTCTGCTCACTGTAAAGAATGCGCCGTGAAAGCGGAGATGGTTGGAAAGAAGAGTGACTTGTACTCTTTACTCGGTAGGTAGGTGTTTCTTAATTCTCCATGTGGACTGTGCTGGGCTACTCTCCGAAGCGCTCCATGCTCGGGTTAGCTTCAATACGGCTTTACGTTACTATTATGCTGGCGCAGCACGGAATTAGCAGCGTCTCACCTCGTCCCCCCTCAGCTACCTGTTTATTAGCCCTTTCCTCTGGACCCCCACGACCCACCTCCAAGACACCTCGTAAAAACATAGCCAGACATCAGAGGAACACGGCTCTGACAAGTTTTCCGCGCTCGCTTCACCCTGCTCTCTTCAATAAAATCAAGATAAAAAATAAGTGAAAAATAATTATGCCTACCCGAACCGTCAGACCATCCCATACATTCCAGCGGGTGATTGCAAAGTAGCGCCCAGGCACACTATCGGAATCTTCCAAATGTACTTATTGTTAATTACGTTAACATGGTTTGTGTTTTCTTTAGGCAAACGGCCACTATAAGCTTTGGCTCGCTCTCCGTGCAGTGAGCGCGACCATTTATTCAGGTTTTGTTGCATGTCCGCTCATCTAAACTCGGATGGCACACGGATGTGAACGCCAAGTCCCAAGCACAAAATACGGGCGATAAATAATATTTCACCCTCCCCGTGGCCCTATACTATTGTGCATTTGACTGTTTTTGCAGCTTTTGCAGTCAGCGTGTCACCGCAGCATCACTCGTGTACTTATCAAAGCCACACTTACCAGATAAAGTCTCTATAGCCTTTATGGCCGAGTTCTGGTCGGGGAAGTCCACAAAAGCATAGCCCGTTTTCAGAAAGACCTGCTCGGCCACTGGCAGCTTCCTCTCCCCAAACAGCTCCTTCAAGTCCTCGACTGTGACCGAAGGACTTAAATTCCCAACATATAGTTTGTTCATGATCTGAAAGGGAAAAATCTCGTAGGGGTATCAGATCTTGAGTGGCGATATACAGAAGTACAAAAATAAAAATAATAATAAAATAAAATAAAAAATCTGCTGGGAAAAACGCAGCAAGTGCCCCCCGGGAAAGCTTATATCAGCGACCCCCCAGCACCAACTCTGGTCCTGGTCAAACTCTTTTAACAGGGACTGGAGAAAAAAGTGTCGTTACGACGCTACTCTGGAGCCAACAAGCACCGCCTCTAAATAAAATCTCTCTTAAAATCTGTAGAAAAAAATGTTTGGAGATGCATGTGGAACCCCTCCTGCTTCACCAGCGTTCAGAGAAGTGCCATGATGTTCTCTTATTTGTTTTTATTTTTATTTTTATATTGGGATGTGCCGCTGGTTCCCCCAGACAGGATATTGGAAAAGATAGCCTACTGTGTGGAAAAATTAAGACGCATAAAGAGCACTTGTGAACCGAAACAGTCGTCTGTGTATGTTTTGTGATTCGCCTTTTTTTAAAAGCTTAAATATGAATTATTAGACGTACTGTAGCAGGTGGATCACATCAGCAAAACTGCTCATTTTTATTCCAGTGGGACCATTTGAATACGTTTCAAATTCTTGTCAATACTCTATTATTCCTACAATTTACTCTTATTTTAAAATACAAAATGTCTTACGTAGGCTTTAAAAAAAATTGCACTTGCCTGTAAACTTTGATCTCTACATAGCCTATATACATACCTGTTAATTCTTCAGTTATTTAGACTATATCTTTAAGAAAATGTTGCTTTAGCGTATGAATTTATAGGTTTAGGTCTGACTTTGACATCTGACGTTGTTGGCCACTCAGCAGTCCACAGCCTTGTAAGGAATAAGAAAGTGAAACTTAAAAAGTCAGTATTCTCAATTTCATTTTATTTTTATATACAATTATCCCTTATCTTTTGCATTGTGACTTATTTGTGAGCCTACGTATTTTGACATTGAACTGAAGAGTATATAGTGTGTACTTGCAATAAAACGTAATTAAATACAAAAATTAATCTATTTTAAGTCCACGTTCTTGACCATAAATACAAACCTGCGTAAGAATAAAATCTTACAGTGCAAATAGTTATTCTTTGGTGTTTGTGATCACGCATATGCCCACCCTTAGACTGTATATATGTCTTTACACAGTCTACGCTCACATGAGTTATTTAATCAATTTTTTGCAGGTGAATTTACGTGACGAGGGACGATGAGGGTTTTTTTGAGCAAAGGTTGAACAGAGTAGAGGAGCATGGTGAGGGGCCCAGGCTGCAGTCATGCATGGACGTCTTGTACCTACAGCAGCAGAAGGGGAGGAGCCATCGCCATTGCCTTTTACACCGCTCTGTTTCTGCATGTGACTGTATGCACCGCGCCGGAGCAGTACTGCCACCCCACTGTAGCGGAGAGAGCGCAGGCAGCAGCAGTGTCCGTGCACAGGAGGGACTACCCGTGTTTACGGCAAAGTCTGAACCGAGGAATGTCCAAGCCTTGGTCTGTTTACAAAACAATGACATGTGCACACAGTGTTCAGTTCACACAGCTCTTATATTGGAATTATAACAGTTATGGCGCCCATTAAGACAGTCAATGCTCAGAGTCATTTAAAGATGTAAAATTGTAATTTGATCTACTCTACGCGTTAGTAATACTTCAGCTGAGTTTGGTCACTTATAACTTAAAATATTTGTTAAATTGCAAATCTAAATAAGGCTATAGTGACACAAATTCTTAGTTAAGGATAATTTTGTAGTGTATCGATTTAGCTTTAAAAACGAAACTTTATCTGCACTTAATTAGAAATACTGTAAGTTAATTTTATTTTGTCCAGCAGGGGGAGATGTCAATAATGTCTTGAAATAAAATTAATGTTTGGCTACACGTCCAAAAAAAAAGACTAATCCAAAAATAGGACTTATCTTACTCCAAAACCTTTAAAAATGTCAATTATGCTACAGTAAAAAATGTCAGGAGTCAAAATGGAAAATGCAACTTCCTTTAATTTCTTCAAAGACCCAAACAGCATACAAAAAATAAAAATCAACGTAACCATGAGAGGTAAAATAAAATAAAAACATCAGCTCACATGAAGTCTTACTGTATACCGTTACTGCACATGGACATTTGATGGCCATCTACGAACGACTGTAAAATTAACTGTTTGACCACACAACATACTAGATTCATTCTTCAGACTCAAACAATGCTCGACAACTTCATTACATCATTTAATAGCGACCTGCAAAAACGAAACAGAGGGAGGTGCTTAGAAAATGCTGCATCTATAGTTAAAATATGGAAGTAAAAAGCAAAAAAAAAAAAAAAAAACTTACGTGGAGAATAAGATCGTGACCTGGACCGGGACCTGTATGCACCCCTGTAGTACGGTGACGGAGAGCGTTTTCTGAAAGACGATATTTAAATAATTTATGCAGAGTTCAGGATAACAAATTAAAGGCTGGCCGTGGTCAGCGTGTTACCTGTATGACCTGTAATAATCTCTGTCGTCATAGCGATCGTAGCCCCCTCTGTCTCCTCTGTCATAGCCGCGATCGTATCCACGGTCATAGTCACGAGAATAACGCCGAGGTCCACTGGGTCCACCTCCACCGCTACAACAGAAAGTGCATTAATAACCAAAAATTGACATAGAAACTGCCATTTTATTTCAGTTCAGTGTGAATCGTGAAGGTTCTTACTATGTAGGACGGCCCATGTATATCCCAGGTGTTGGTGTGTGTGGTCTTTTGGTGATGGAGAAGTCCACTCTGATCCTGCGCCCGTCCAGCTCCATGCCATTAGCCCTCTCCTTTGCCTGAGAGAACAGGACACATTGATACAAACATTTCATTTCAGTTAATATTGTAATTGTTTTGTTTGATGCTTCGTACCTCTTTCGCATCATCCGTGTTTTCAAAGTAAACAAACGCAAAGCCCCTGGAGCGCCTTGATTGCTGGTCATACACAATACTGACATCTGCCAGAGGGCCGTATTTGGAGAAGACGTCTCTCAGGTCCCGCTCGGTGGTGTACAAGCTCAGGCCGAACACCCCCAGACAGGCATTTGGGTCTGGATTCGCCTGCAGACAACAGCAGTTCACATAAACAGCCCAGTTTCGGGATTAGAATGAAAACAGCGGGATGGGGACATACTCTGTTTCCGATGTGTCTGCGGCGGTTGGACATGGGGGAGCGGCTGTGGCTCCGATGGCGTCTTTCTCCGCTGTAGGAGCGGCTGCGGGAACGTCTACGGTACGAGCGAGAGCGGGAACGAGAGCGGCTGTAGTGACGCCTGGAGCCTCGACGAGAGCTGGGAACAGACATCACAGACATATTAGCACATAAAGAGTGCATTTCAATATCAAATGTCAGTTATCTTATTTATGAAGCATTTCCATACATAATGACTCCAGGAAGAATAGCTGTGCTTCCACAGCTAATGGAGGTCAAAATAAATACAAATACAAACTGAAGAAAAAACATGTTCTTACCCAGACTTGGATCTGGAGTGGGAGCGGGATTTGGAGCGGGAATGCCGGGAGCCATCTTTAGATCGAGCCGGGGAGCGACTCGCGGACTTCCCAGAGCCACGAGAGCCTCGAGACACGCTCCGAGAGGCAGAGCGGGACTCCTGGACGAACCACACACAGAGACCTTATGAGCACCAGACACAGGGCACACTCACCTACACATGTGTGTGCACTTATGAATAAGACTAATCTGAGGAATGTGGAAAGGGACAGTTCAGAAGTGTAGTAAAGGAAGGCAGGTAAAAGCTTTTGGGAACATTGTTGCTAATGAAAGCAGCAAATATGTGAAAGCACAATTTAATTTGTCAACATTACAGAAAGTATGAGTTGTGTAAATGACTTAAATTACTGTGTTGCATTGGATAACAAGAACATGCACGCATTTGACAAACAGACTAGAAAAATGACTTATCCCTATACCTTCTCCAGATTACTTCATTTACTTCTTTATTTCTGTCACTTCATTACTTCATTACGCCACATTATTCTTCTTTCTTCGAATTTCTTAATTCTTCTTACTTCCCCCTTTTCACACACTGCCCATACTTCTTCCCTCCTCATGATTTAGCATGCATTCACAAATTCAGCTTCACACATCTGAGCTTCATATTATTCATAATAAAGAGGTTCTTCAGCCTTTTCTTCGTCCAATCTTAACCTTTATGAAAAAGAAAAGCATGAAGAATATAACTATAGTTACAAATTTGAAACCCGGGTTAATTTTCAATGTGTCAATAATACAGTCGTATCACATGCACGAATGCTCCCGACCACATTATGCAAAACACGTTACACAAGATTCTGCGCGTTCTGTGGTTTCCCTTTAGAGAGAAGCTCACATTCACAAAACTCTGAACTACACGATAAAGAAAAGTGGGGAAAATAAGCTGTCACTTTAAAAAATAACATCAGTTAGCGTTCATAATAACACTACAGTGTATTGATTTATGTGGTAACCATATATATATATATATTTACTTTTGTAAAATTATGTATTCTAGAATAAAAATTGTGTTGTGGTAGATTGTAGCACTTCTGTTTAGGACAGGAAAACGTTATATTAGACAATAGAGGCACGTATGTGATGAGATGGTCACTAAACCCTGGCCCTTGCCTTCATTTGGGGAAATGGCTTTGTGAACACGGCGTGCCAGCGCCATGGCGGCTTGGGTTTCATTTAGCGCGAGGCCGAGCAGCTGTTGCGGGAAAACACGGCCATGCTTTAAAACTGCGTACTGGAAAAAGGGACGTTCTTTATTGTGTGCGTTAATACAGCGTGTATTAAAGCAGGTTAATGCTTATTCAACCCTAAACGTTTAAATAATAACTTGAAATAGTATAGTTATAGCGGTATAACGCCAAACACCAAAGTGGCGCAAATAGTAGTTTTTCAATATTTTATTGCGTTTAACTCTTCATATATGTACGTGTTAAGAATACTACATGAAATGGCATTTGTAATAATCTGAGGTTTGTTAAACGATCGGTAATCGAGCGGGCTAAAAACGGCGTCTCCATTTCCCGCACACTGGAGGCCCAGACTGAGCCCAGTGTGCGGACATAGTGTGAGTCTGCGGCCTACCCGCTCCACGGCACGTACACATCCCCCGAGTCTGCGCTGGAAACGATCACAATTCAACATAACCGACGCAAGTTTATACTAAATAGATTACAATATTTACGCACAGAGGATATTAAACTAGATTTACGCACAATTTGCCACGTTGCGCAAACGTTTTTCTCAAACACGGACAAAGTCTAAAGTGCTATGTTAGCTGATAGCATTAGCATTGAGATAAAGCCATTTATTATCAAACTGAAACCATGCTTTGGTTCATAAAGTGGAGATTGAAGAAAAGTCTTACTTACCCGACCATAGCCTTTCTCGTTATCGCTCATGTTTGTGAGACTTTGTGTGATAAAATGTTTGACGGTTACAGCCGAAGCTCCGACCGAGCCGAGCTGCAGAGGACGACGCAGTGAGGAAGAGCGTGAGTGCGGGAGCAGCGGCGCCGAGCTCCGCCCCTCCGGACAAACACAAACACAACCGCGGGCAAGGAACAAGTAACTACAACAAACTACACACTGCACTCCACTACTGCAAAACCTGCACACACACCGATAGTACGATCATAATAATACTAAATAATCTTTTTTTTTTCCATTATATACAGAATCATGTGGGATATTTGTACAGCCCACAGTTGACTCGACCAATACTACTGACACACATGTAAACTATGCAAATATGCAATTAGGAAACAGAAACACACACACAAGCAATAAAAAAAAAATCTTACAATTCATTTCAACAAATCCTTTAATTAAAAATAGCAAGCATATGATATTATTATTACACAACAGAGGGCTATATGAAATGCATGTGTGTTTGATAATAGTAATAGTTCATTTTGGAGCTAAATCACGTTATATTCGTTACTCAAAGCAAAATAAATATGAATGTATATTAATATATATTTTAACGCAAACTGCAACTAAGAGAAAGCAAACAAGTTCATCCTGTAGCCAGTTATTCATTGGCACCTGTGATGGGCAAAAGAGTCATATAGAAGTGTCAAGTAAAAATCATCATTTAGGGATATTTATAAGTCATGGAAAAGCCACTTACCACAGTCATAGAGAACATTTATTTTATGCAAGTCTAAAGCACTTGGTCCGTCTCGCTGGCCAATGGGAATGTAAGGATCAGGTTTTGGTATTATTGTAGGTCCACCATCCTCAGAAAAGGCATATCTAGAAGGAAGCATTAAAAGTATATACCAGAGCTCCACCAAAACATGAGGACCCTTTAATTATGTCGCTCTATAGAAAACCCCACCTTCCATAATGCATGACTGAGCTGTAGTCATAGGGGCTGTTCAGATTGTTAGTCGCCTGTTTCCTGAAGTTATGAATTTGATCTGCCAAAGATATAAAAAAATAAAAATAAAAATAAGTACAGAAACAGATCAGATATATTTTTTATGTGGTATAACCTGGCATGATGTTTTTCCACACTATTGTTACAAAGTGGTCACGGTCAGAGCGAGACTGTTCATGTACAAAGCCCAGAGCGTGCATGAATTCATGTGCAGCCACTCCAGACCACATGCACCCAGGGGTCTGCAGGGACAAAGTCTGGCTTCCTCCAGTCTGCCCCAGGAAAGACCAGCAGCTTTGGATACAACATGACATTATTTGATTTCACAAACTTAAAAATTAGGAATAAATAAATACATAATATATAGTCTTTTCATCCAAGGCATCTTTAACAGTGGTACTTACCCAAATCTGGGCTGAATATCCAAAAAGCTGGCTTCATGTGTTCGTGGAACAAATTTAATGCATGTTCCAGCAGAAATGTCTTGCATACCAGTTTCTATGGTGATTCTGTCCATATCATCTAAAATGAAAAATGGAAGTTGTCAGAAACAGCTTCTTCAGTCCAGTCCCACAGTGTTTTAGTGCAGATCTGTACCATAGAGAGGAGACATGATGTACGGCACATAAACAAAGCCATCCACTGATTTGGGCCACAGACAGGAGTTCCCAGGGCACGATATTGCACTGCGTGGGAACGTATTTGCAATGTCCCCGTCTCTGAACGTTACCCCTCGGGGAGCTCGAAGCTCTGGTGACAGAATATAATTATATATTCAGAAAGTACCTGCTGAAGGCTTCTCTCAGTATTTAGACTTAGACAAACTGTATTGATCCACAAGGGAAATGATTTGGACATATGGCTCACAGCATATTATAATAACAAAGAGAAGAGGTATAATAAATTCTAAATAAGTAGCAGAAATAGCAAGAGACTGATGTCAAAAAAGGCATAATTATATAAATGCATATATACAAATAAAAATAAAATATAGAAATATAGTAATAAAAATATATCTCATCTATATACAAGAGGTCTTGAGCAAAACAGTGCAAAAATGATATGATTTTCAGTACACTTACTGCTGTTAACAACAAGAATCTGATCCATCGCTGTCATTTCATCCCAGTCTTCAACTTCATCTGATTACAAAACATTTAGTTACTTACAGTTTTTTTTTTTTGTTTATTTATTTGATAAAATGTTGAATAAAAGATATGGGAAATATACCTGAATACTTTCTTTTCATTCTCAGTTTGCCTTCATTTGGCTCAGTGGAATTCTGTAAAAACAAACATTCTACAAACCTTATAGTTGCAAGATAAAATATATAATATAATTGTTAAAAGTTTTACTGACCTTTAGAGGAAGGGTGCAGACCTGGCTCAACACAACCACAAAGATGCCCAGAAAAATGGTGGAACACATCCTGTAGCTGATGCCACTGTCAGTGCCCAGTCCTCCAGAGCTAAGTGTGCTCCTCCACTGCCCTGAATATATAGGCACTTGTGCCTGTTTGCTCTTTACTGATTGGCACATATTCTGTGATGAAGCATGATTAAAGCCCCTCATCACACACTCATGTAATTTGGTGGAGGCCCTGTTGATCCGTGACAGGTGGTCCCAGCTGACCTTGTACTTAACGCAGAGAAGATTCAGCATTTTAAAAATTGACACTTGAAGGTGTTTTGCTGCTGGAGGTGCCACACACAGTTTAACACCTGTCACCAGGAGAATATGGGCTTCTGAGTCCAACAGACCAGCAATTTGTGTCTGACTGGGCTGTAAACCAGTCATTTAGTGATACACAATCAGCTCATAGCTATGTTGACAGCAATCATTTGGCCTCATACAAAAATATATGAAACTACAGAACCCGATGGTCCTTAATGATATTATATTAGTAAAGGGGAAAGTTAAAGAAAATTCTGTATCTTCAGTTTATTTATCATATTTGTATATTGATCATCTTAATATGGTTAGTCCTTGTGTATTTTTATGACCCACAAATAATGACCATATATAAAATCTATGCACACAAAGAGAACATGATCAGGGTAAGTTTGAATGAAACTTTATTGAAAAGAAACTCATTTTATTATATACTGTATAAGCTTCCAATACAGTTTTTTCCCACAATGTTTCAGTAATCATCATCAACACCTACAAAAGAAGAAAATGTACATTAACACCTATTCATAAAAGGTCAATGTTAAATAGGTAATAATGTATTAATAATACAGAAAATATAGGAAAAATATTGGTCCTAACCACATTTGTAAAGTCTGTTGATTTTCATCCTGTCAATGCGGCTGAGGGTGGTTGCTTGGCCAATCTTTACATTTGGATTGCCTTTTGGAATAATGGTGGGACTCCCATCTTGTGAGTAGGCGTACCTAAATATTACAACAGCATAAGAAGTAATCAAACATTTTTTGAGCATTGGGAAAAATAAGAGGGCATTAGCTTACATGCCAAAGTGCAAGATTGAGTTATAATCGTAAGGTAGGTTCAGGTGGTCTGTCTTGAATTTCTCAAAGTTCCTTATACGATCTATTTGAACAACAAAAGAAGCATTGGCACTGGATTTATTTATTTTTTTAAATAAAGAATACATGGTTAATGTAGAATTATACTGAAGTTACCTCTCCAAATGTGTGGCCACATGATGGTGACATAGTTGTCCCTGTCAAAGCGGGACTGTTCGTGCACGAAGCCCAGGGCGTGCATGAACTCATGAGCGACCACCCCGGCCTGGAGGCAGCTGGGGCTCTGCAGGGAGACGGTCTGCCTCCCCCCACGGGCACCAAGGTACGACCAGCACCTATGACAGCAACCACAGCACTTACACTTATGGACTTTACATTTAAACATTTTATTTAGAAACAAATGTGAACAGTGTTTATTTTGTTTTTCTGTTTACTGCAAAATAAAATTGTTATAGAAAATATAGTACATACCCTGACTTTGGCTGAATGTCTATGTAGTCTCTCTGGTGAGTGCGGGGAACAAATCTCACACAAGTGCCTTTCTCTATAGTCTCCATGCCCTTTTTAATGAGCTTCTCTTCAATTTCACCTAAGGAGATGTTTTAGCATAGGAAAGAGTAAAGTGAAATATACTGCAGTTAATATGACACTAATATAAAAGTCTGACTTACTGTATTCAGGTGAGAGGTTATACGCAATATAGACATGTCCATCCACTGACTTTGCCCACTGACAGCTCCTTGCAAAACAGACTTTGGATCGCCTACCAGCAGACACAGCAATGTCTCCCTCTCTGAGACTTGTGGAACCATCAATAATGCGGGAAGCTAACACAGATATTTCATACAGAATTACATAATATATATTTATGATTTTTAGATAAATTTGTGAGAAATACACTACCTTGAAACTCATTCGCTTTGATGATTTCATTCATGATACTTCCATCGTCTCGTTCTTCACGCTCTTTGAAAGAAAGTTTATGTACAGTTCACAAAATATTAAACAACATTTATTTGATCCTTACTTACCTTTAATGCCTCTGGGAACCCATGGAGAGCTGTATAAAAACTTCTGCAAACAAAGACAAGAAAGGACTTTATAAATATCCTAAATTCAGTAAATGTTAATCTGAAATACAAATAATACCTGCGCAGATACTGCTGAGAGACAAGCAGAGAGTAAGTACAACAGGATAATCCTGTCCATCGTTGGAAGCTGAAGTCTTCACTACCATTTTCCCAGCACTTACAGCCAGCTTTATAGGTCTTCCCAATCACCGTTGTGAATAGACACCTGTCATCATCTCTGTAAATTACGGGTTGGCTGTTATTTGTTTGTGAGTGAGTTTAATCCTTGAATTAGTACAATTCTTTTATAACGATCAGCTCCAACAGTGGGATAATGTGAGGTCTTACAGCATGTAATAACAGCTCCAGAACGGTGGCTAGTCTTAAATGAAATGGTTTGGTGTTTGGGATTAGGGAGGTCATTTTACACTCAAACATACACATAGCTGCCAGCTGAAGCACAACATTCTATAGGCTAATACTATTTAATAGAGATGGGGGCAGCTATAAACAACATAATTAAAATCCAGAGTTAGCCTATTTCTTGGGTCTAGTCAGTAATAAGTTAAGCAGTTGTGCTTGAATATTTCACTGTAAAATGCAATGTAGTTCAGGTGTTCTTAACCTTTTCAATCTGTATTAAGT